TCATTATAGTTTCAATACTATTGTATTCACTGGAAGACTTTCTCCCCCCCCCCCCCCGAAGAGATGCCTTGAAGAAACTGTCCACAACTGTCTCCAGCTATCAAACCTCATCTGCCTGGGAGTATCTGTTGTATTTTAAATAATTTAAACTTTAAACACTAGCTCGTTTCCATTCAGTGATCCGTTAAAAGCCATTAAGAGCCATATAGATATTGCAAAATTACAATGCACAGCATTAGGTTAGAATAGTGTGGCAAGCTATTGATCAAGTCGGTAGGAACCAATACAAACGGGTATAGCCTTGACCAGACACATACACGTACTACATACACGCACACATACATACACATACATATATGCAACATATATGCAACTTGGGCTTTTAAAAGGCGCCATGCATATTATATATATATATATATATATATATATATATATATATATATATATATATATATATATATATATATATATATATATATATATATATCACTGTTAGATGGATTTAATTTAACACATAACCCTAGTACAAAAACCACCAAATAAGAAGGTGTAAATCATAGGTGTCATACCATCAAGATATCATTCTCTAGCTATTTCCACTCAGTGGAAACGCTCTAAATGGAATTCTTTTTTTACCCCACAACATTGCAAGCCCATGTGTCGTCTGCCGTAGGTCGTGTGATATCAAGGATGAAAGTCACCCCGATGCTCCCTCCCCCCCGGCAGATGCTGCACGGGTCGATGGCCAATCGGAGAGCTGGTCGTCTGCTTATGAGGTTACGGGTTAATCACTGCGACATCTTGCTGAAGTTTTGTTTGGGACATTTAGTCTAACGGTTCCAAAACTGCTCAGTTGTTTTTTACTTTGGTTTTTTTTTTTCCGAATCTTTGATATGCTCTAATTTTGATTTTTAACTTTTTCACTTAATGGGTGCATTTTGTATAATTTTGCTGTTTATGGGTATTACTTTACCTTTCCTTATTTTATTTTGTATTGTATATTGTGTATATTACATTGTATCGTACTATTTTGTCTGTTATCATATTATTTTCTGTTTTATATTACTTTTGTTCTGGTATTTTTGTCTGTTCCGGTATTATTTTCTTTTCCGTTTTTATATCTCTTCCGGTATATTTGTCTGCTCCGGTTTCATGTGTCTGTTCTGATGTTTAACACGTTCATTTAATGTTTGAAGCGTTAGGTAACAACTCATGCCAGTGTGAAACAAAAGCGTGTTCCGGTTTTAACATGATGGAAGAAATTGTAACTTCTGGACACTTAGCTACTAGTGTGAAAAATCAGACATGTACGCAAGAATGCAAGAATGCAATAACGATAACCACACCAAACATAACACATGTACAGAACTCCACCAAACAGCTACATAACCACACCACACATCTACACAACCACACCAAACATGCACATAACCACAACAATTATTACACATGAACATAACCACACCAAATATTACACATCTACACACCCAACACCACACACGTACACAACCACATCAAACACCACACATGTACACAACCACACCAAACACCACACACGTAGACAACCACACCAAACACCACACACGTAGACAACCACACCAAACACCACACACGTAGACAACCACATCAAACACCACACACGTAGACAACCACACCAAACACCACACATGTACACAACCACACCAAACACCACACACGTAGACAACCACACCAAACACCACACACGTACACAACCACACCAAACACCACACACGTACAAAACCACACCAAACACCACACACGTACAAAACCACACCACACATATACACAGCCACACAAAACACCCCACACGTGCACAACCACACCAAACACCACACATGTACACAGCCACACCAAACACCACACACGTATACAACCACACCACACATATACACAGCCACACCAAACACCACACACATACACAACCACACCCAACGCCAAACACAACCCAACAGGTGCTAGGACATCTCAACGGAACCTACAGCCCAGCACTAAACACGTCACATCCACCTCTCATCCACCTCACATCCACCTCACATCCACCTTCCATCCACCTGATGGATACAACCAGACCGCGGGGATTAGTGTGAGGGCAGGGGGTGACCCGGGCTGTCACATTGTTTTAATGGTGTCGCCGTCTGGAGGATGCGACATGTCGTCTCCCGGTAACTGATACAAGGATGCAGAGAGGGGCGGGGGGCTGGTGAACCCCAGAGGGTTGAAAACCACTAGGCCGTGACGCCATCTCAACTAGTCTTCCTTCTATTTTTCTATACATATATATATATATATATATATATATATATATATATATATATATATATATATATATATATATATATATATATATATATATATATATATATATATATATTTATATTATGACATGTTGTTTTTTTTTTAATTATTTTCTGAAACGTCACTGCTGATGCTACTGCGTGATGCATGACACGTGATGCGTGACACGTGATGCGTGACAGGT